TTGAGATTTTAATGAAAGTTTACAGAGAATTTTAATTTCCATTCATTCATTGTTGCACATTTTCCTCCCTGTCCCCCCTTCCTCCCAGTTCACTTTTCTTTTTGGAAAAAAACATCCTTTGTTATACAGTTCCCCACTTCCTGCAGTTCACTCTGGACTCATATCATGCCATGCCAATAAAACCTAATAATATATTCCTTTTATACAGTTCTCTCCCTAGTCTGCTTCAATGCTGTGTACTTTATTTATCCCCTCTTTTCTTAGTTTTCCCTCAACCCCCACGGCAGTCCTGTTTTATAATAGTGGCATTATGCAGTATTTGTCCTTTTGTGACTGAGATATTTCACTCAGCATAATGTCCTCCAGGGTCACCCATTTTGTATAATATTTCATGAGTTCCTTGTTTTTCAGTGCTGCATGGTAATCCATTGTGACTATACCACAGCTAATCTAAGCCCTTTAGAGTTGACATTATCAGCAAGTAAAGGACTTCAGCAGAGGAGCTTCTCGTACACAGTATTTTTAATTTCTCTTAAATTTCATGATTCTTTTCCCGGCTTCATTTATTCATTGTTGCAAATTTTCTCTGACACCCCCCCCCCAAAGCACTCCTTGTTCCAGATTGTTATCTTACTTATTATCTGCTTCATTTTAATCTTATGACTATCCCAAGTAGATAAGATAGACAACTTAAAAGATGACTGAAGTCAGTACTCTGTATCAAGAAAACTAATCTAACCTAGTGCTTTCCAATCACTGTTCATATCATAGACCTATTTTTTTCTTATGTAGTTTCTTTTTTTGAAAATTGTATTTTATTAATTTTAATGTATTTGTAATTGTATTTTATTAATTTTAATGAACGTTTACAGAGATTTTGGATTTATATTCATTCATTGTTACATTTTTCTCCCTGCCTTCCCCTCTCCCTCAGTTTGCTCTTCTCTTCTCTTTGAAAAGTAAAAGAAAAAGTCTTTTATTGGTATATAATCATCCCTCCCTCCTCCTCCAGTACACTCCACTATGCAACCTTCATTCTGAACTCCTGTCATAACCATAATACCCAATTATATATCGCTTTTAAACTGTTCTCTCCCTCATATTTTCTGTCCTGATCAAAATGTCAAAGGTGTGTTTTCTTGTTTGGGTGTGAACTGCTTGGGCCTGGCTTTAATTGTTTTCAGTCAAACATTCTTCTAAGGAGTATTTGCTGTACAGAGGTAAGTGGTTGCTGTGATGCTAAACACTGTGATACTGATGTGTCAAATGTGATAATGGTTACCCATGGTGGATAGTATTTGGCAGAGCTCCCAGATTAAAACAGCTCGGAAGCAGTTGTGGCATTCACTTCTGAAATATCTTTCCTCCAGAAACTCTATGAACTTAGAGAAATGATGATAGTTATAATACAGGGTTCAGGACTTTCATTCATAGGGTCACTGTGAGTCGTCTACAACTCGATGGCACTACACACACACACACACACACACACACACACACACACATGTTGTTTGCTCTTGAGTCAATATGAATGGTGACTGAGTCATAAAAACTTACTAAAATTTGTTTCAATGTCTCATTTTGGGGAAAGCTATATCAGTTATACTTTAGATCTTAGATAAACTTACCATTTTTTTTTAAATTTTAAAATCATTTAAGATAATTTGCAATTATTTTGCTGTCATTAGTAATTTGGGCAATGGACCCACAGTGTTTCTGACAAGGACAGAATTAAGCATAATGAAAGGAGCTGGCTTAACTTTTCTTCTTTACCTCTTATCTGAGGATGACACTTAATTTTCATTAATCCAGAGCTGTAGCACCAGTGATTATTTCAATCAACTCCTTTGTGATAACAGCTTGGGGGGTATGGTTGAATGTAAAGTCAGTTTGTTGATGATCTCCGAGGCATTCTTACTGGCATTGTCCATAGCTGTCATCCTTGCACTTTCTTCACCAGTGGTGGTTTTCTTCAGAGAGTAGTAGATGATGTTTGCCAGAGTGTATTCTTGGTAATTTTGTAGCACATAAGCATGAATATCATCATAGATACTCGTACTTTCAGCACTAAGGTATGGTATTAAGGGAAAATATTGGCTTTTCCCCCATCAGTCTTATAAAAGATGACAGACCTGAATCGATTAAAGATGATGAATCCTTCATCAAATTCATAATCAGAGTTCAATTCAAGGGCAATAACTGATGCATCTCCAAAATTAGGAGGCTTCCTTCCCACTTCCTTAAATGTCAGAAATTGGTCAGAATGAGTCCTATGCAGGATGCCCCTGATTTTATCTCCAAACCCAAAAATCTTAACTTCATTTCTAGCTGCTGTAAGCGTGGCTACCTCACTTTTCATCTATTTGGCAACTGAGGAATGAACAGCACCACAAAGCCCTCAATCTTAGGATACACCTATAATGAGGTGTTTCTTCTTGCCTTCAGGAGCTTTTTCATAGAAAGCCAGCAATCCGACTCCATATACCTGAGCTAGTTTCAGCTCCCTTTCTGCTCAGGCATATTTTGCTGCTGCTACCATTTTCATAGACTTGATAATTTTCTGAATGTTTTTTACTGACTTCAGTCACCTGTAATATCTTTCAAAGTTGCCATATTTTGAACGTGGGTCCACTGTGGCTGTACAGCCCAGGCTGAGATCTTGTGATGGTAAATAATGCTGCTACAAACACTGGTGTACAAGTCTCCGTTGGTGCCTCAATTCTCATTTTCTTGGGATATATTCCAAACAGTGGGATAGCTGGGTTAATATGGAGTTTTTATATTCAGCTTTCTGGAAGGCTAATTTCTTCAATACTAAAACTTTACCATGTTTTACCATGCCTTCAATATGGATTACATTTCAAATCAAGAAAATAAAAATCTTCATCATTGCACCAACAGGCAGCATCATGATAGATGAAGAAATGATTAAAACTACCAGTTATTTCATCCATAATCAAGAAATCCAAACACATGTTGTATTGGGAAAATATCCTGTCAAGGACTGCTTCAAAGTGTTAAAGAGCAATGATGTCAGTTTAAAAAGTAAGGGGTACTGTGCCAACCATTGGCATTTTCTACACCTGCTTCTGAGTGTAGCTTGATATTTTGTAATTGAGAGCTCATTTCAAAAGAAGAAAACATTAAAGCAAGGAAAAGTGTCACTAAAACATAAAAAAAGAAAAAAGTAAGGTGCATCCAATCCAAAGCATAATCATTTCAATTACTTGCTATGCAGCTGAAAGCTAGACAATGAATAAGGATGACAGAAGAAGAATCAATGTCTTTGAGTTGTTATGTTGGAGAAGACTATCCCATGGACTGTCAAAAGAACAATTATGTCTTAGAGACAGCTCAACCAGGGTGCTCTTTGGAGGCAAGGATGATCAAGTTACATTTCTCATACTTTGAGCATGTTGTTAGGAGGGGCCAGTGCTTGGAACAGAGCATCATGCATATAAAGGAGGAGGGTCAGCATAAAAGAGAAAGATCCTTAACAAGATGACTCTCAATACAGTGATTGAATGAATGGGCTCAAGCAAATCAGAGATGGTGAGGATCGAGCAGGAAAGGACAGGTTTCAGATCCCTTGTTCATAGGGTCAATGAGTCATAGTAGACTCAATAGCACTAACATCACCACCAACCACCACTCACAATCCAGCTTAATTGAATTAATTAGGAAGCATATTCTAGTTTAGCAGTTTGGAAGATCCAACACAGATGTGGTCTTTTAATGACTACCGAGTTGTTTAATAACAGAATAACAAAGCAGTTAAGAGCACAGGCACTCATTTGTGCCACTTAATAGCTATATGACCTTGGGAACCTTTCTGTGATCATTTCCCTCATCTATAAAATGGATATACTTAAAGGTACAAATATCTCATTAAGTTGTATGTGGACTCAGTGAGCTCATACAGATCAAAAGTGTCAGCTATGTTCTAAGTATTTATTGTACTATTATTAAACTAAGTATAACACTAGCTATTAAGGGGAGCAAAGACTACTTACGGGTGTTAATTTTGGTCAGCCACAATATGCTATCTTTTAAAATATGTGATTTTTTTAATTTTAAAAATAGGACGGATAACCCAATTACAAAATGGGCAAAAGACACGGAAAGACTTTTCACAGAGGAAGACATTCATGTGGCAAACAGACACATGAAGAAATGCTCAAAATCACTGCCAATGAGAGAGATGCAAATCAAAACTATAATGAGATTTCATCTCACCCCAGTAGCAGGGGCAAAAGTTTACAGCAAGCAATAAATGTTGGAGAGGATGCAGAAAGATAGGAACTCTCATACTGTTGGTGGGAGTATGAAATGGTACAACCATGCTGGAAAGCAGTTTGGCGCTTCCTTAAAAAGCTGAACACAGAATCCCATATGACCCAGCTATTCCATTGCTTAGGAATATACCCCAAGAAAAGCAGAACTGAGACACAAATGGAGATTTGTACATTGATGTTCATAACATTATTATTAACTATAGCAAGAACATGGAAACAGCTCAAATCAACAAACAACTGGATTGAGAAATTGTAGTACATTCACATCATAAAATACTATTTGGCACTCAGGAGCAATGATTTTAAAATATACTATATAACATAGGAAAGGCTATGGAGCATTATGCTAAGTGAACTTACTCAGGCTCATAAGGACAAATAGTGCATAAGGATATTATTGTAAAAACAGAAGGGTAACTAGTAATATTTGTATAAATGTCCCAAGAGAGAAAGTGAGAGAGTAGGGGGGCTGAGTGGGAGATGGGAGGGGTCAGAGTTTGGTGGGTGGAGAGAGAGTGTCAAGGAATTAGGAAATATCCAGTGAGGTTCTGAAAAGACAGAGTAATAATGGGCATAGATTAATCATGATTAATTTTGTAAGACACAATATGTGGGATGATTGCATGAAAAACAATGTGAATGAAAAATACCTAAAAAACAAACAAATGAAAGTGGGTATTTTAAAAAAGATTAGTTTCTACTCACAGATTTAGAAGGTACAGGATTTGGGAAGATATTGTTAACTCTTAGATTAGGCCTGTAAAAGACAAAATGATATTAAGCCTTAGTGTAGAAAACTCAAGACTTAGCACAAATAGCGACTAGAATTATTATAATTCGCATTTTAAATTATTAGAATTTGTGGATATGATAAAATAATTCAGTATGTAGTAAAAAGTTTCCCGTCTTGTTGCTATTTTCTTCCATAGAGAGCATAACTGCTTTTTGTATGTGTGATCCTTTGAGAGATATCTTATGCATAAAGATAGCAGTCTATCAATATTTATGAAATATGTGCTCTACTTATCTGCATAGTCTTATTCCTTTAGTCATCATTTCCTGAATATAGCAATGTAGTATGTCTTGGAGAGAAAGTGCCAAGTAAGATAATAAAATGCTTATTTATAAAAATTCCTTGGTTTAAGTGTCTTCAAATAGTTAATTTTCAGGAGAGAAAAGTAATACAATTAAAAAAATCTGGGATATATATAAAATTAATTAAGTTAGAGAGTTAGAGTTTTTTTTAAAAGAGGAAAACATAGAAGGCTTTAATCTTTCCAGACCAAAACCAATTGCCAGACTAATAGACACTTTGTGATTGATGTCCTATTTGAAGCCAGCCTCTCCCATAAAAAATATAAGTCCTGGGAGGGTGGGGAATCTTTTAATCTTGTTACTCATCTATCTCCTGCATCTACAGTGACTGATGTATCACAGGCTGTTACTTTGTGACCTTGAGTGGATTCCAGTTCACAGTGACTCTACCAGACAAGGAGATATGTGCCCTCTGAGATTTCCAAAACAATAATGTTCCTGGAAGCCAACTGTCACATTTCTTGTCTGTTGGATTCTGGTGGGTTTGAACCACTGGCCTTTCAGTTCACAGCTTAGTGTTTAACCACTGTACCACCAGAGTTACTCTTTGCAGGTTGCATTTAATACTTGAATAAATGAATTTTCTTCACTTAGTAAAGGAAACAGAATTTTTAACATTCATGGTGCTAAAAACACCCAAAACACAACCTAAAAACAATGTATACAACCTTTGTAAGTAAACCAGTATAAAATAAAAATTTTATAAAAGAAAAAGAAAAAAGCAGAAAGCTAATGAAAAAAGAATGTAAAATACAAATTCAGCTTGTGAAAAGGGGAGAAAGTACATGAATGCTAAACAAATAAGAGCATTAAAAATATGTCAATGAAATATAAAAAGGAAGTGATCACATTCTGTCCACCTGAAGGTTAAGTGCTGAATAGGTAAAGGGCATTGTCAGGAAGGAGGATGCTGGTATGCTGCTGCTGCTGGCTGATCGTAACTGCTCTCCTCTCCGAGGAAGAAACAGCAGAAACAGGGCCATTCAATTTCTTGAAGAAAATGGCATTACTGAGAATCACTTTTCCAGGAAAAGAAGGAGTAGCAGGAAAAACTTCCAACACAGGTAAGTTATACTTTAAACATTCCCCCTCCTTCCTCTGGAGTCCACCAGCGTTTAAAAGCTTTGCCAGTGGACTAGGTACTGTCCAGGAGTTTTTGCCATGCCTGGTGTCACACCCTTTTATTCATAGATTCCTCATGTAGCCTGAGTCGACTCTGAAAACAAAAGAACTATGTTTTGAAAAGCTTAAGCTTCTGTTAGTAACAGTAACCAGAGCAACAAAGCTTGTCCAACTGTGGAAAGAAACTCACTTGGCGTTCTGGCACTTCAGCTTGCCCTTGGCTGCCAGATACTCCTGGAGCTGTCTCTGCCGCTCCTCTGCAAAACAGGAAGCAAGCAGACAGTAGAACTTGAGTGTGGGATTTTAGCCACTTCATTTACATTATGAAAGATGCCATTTTTCCAGAATAATTTTGGCATTGACCAATATTGAAAGTCCTGTAATCCTGTCAATTTTCCTAAAATTAATACTGTTGTTGTTAAGTGCTGTCAAGTCAAAGGCGACTCATAGCAACCCTATGAATGAAAGTCCTGAACACCTGTGTGACTTTCATCCTTTCTCCAGGTTCATAGGGTTTCCAGAGGCAAGCTATTATGGAAGTGGATGCTACTCCTGCTAGTACTAGCATTAATACTAACAATAATATAATTTATTGAACATTTAAATTTCAAGTCCAATCCTAGCCATATATATTTATATTAATCAGTGAAATCTCATAACAATTCTATCATGTATTTTACAGTGTGAAATAAGTTATTTGCCATCAAGTTGGAACAGACTCAGCTGAGTCTAACCCTCTCCAGCACATTTTCAGAGCCAGTAAATTTCCTGGGAGAAGATTGCCCTTCTTTCTCCCCCCAGCATAACTCCTTATCACCAGCCAATCAGAGCTCCTTAGTCTGAAACATAGAGAAGGTAAATAACGTTCATTTCACATATTGGCAAAGCCAAGATTTGAAATTGGTTTTTCAACAGCAGAGATCTTGCTAATAATAGCCAACATTCTGAGCCATAACATGCTGTGCTTTGCGTGGAAATTGTGCCATCTGAGATGGTGAGGGAGGCATGGTCTTATTTTTTTATTTTAATTTTTTTTCTGACAGGAATATTTACTTTTACTTACAAACTCTGACACAGTTTCCATTAGGACCAACGATAAACAGACTAGGTTAGAGGGCTCATGGCAAATACATATGAGTCACTTCCAATGCAAGCTTTTAAGAAGGGATGGAGAGGTTTCTGTCCTGAAGTTTCAAGCTACTGGTAGAAGTAAGACAAACAAAAGTTACTGTGATATAAGAAATATTGGTTATAAGAAACACTGGAAGCCATTAAGAAATCAAATACTCTAGAGACAGGGAACTAGAAGAAACATATCAATGAGGAACAATTTGAACCACTATGAAAGAAAATGCAAAAGATGAAAGAATTGAAACTATAGATAAAAAGGTACAAAAACTTAAAAAAATATCACAAGACAGAGAGGATCTAGCAAACATAATAGTGGAAATAACAGAAAAGCATGAAAACGCAACCCAGAATAGCAAGACAGAAATGTACTGGAGGTCAGCTATGCATTGGTTCCAATTCTATGGTACACAACAACAACAATTAACCAAAGGATAGGTCAACTAAAAAGAAACTTAAAGATGTAGAAAATGTTAAATCAGCCAACTTGAACTTGTGGATGTATTCAGGGTACTGTACCCAAGTAAAACTCAATTAGCTTTCTTCTCAAGTTCACATTCTCCAGAATCATCATATATAAGGGCTCAAAATAAGCCTCAACAAATTAAAACACGGAAATAATACAAAGTAACTTCTCAGACCACAATATCATAAAACTAGAAGTTAACCACATGAAAGTAAAGCTCAAACACACCCTGCTAGAACATGATTGGGTTATAGAAGAAATAAAGAATGAAATTAAAAAAATTCCTTGAAATAAATGAAAATAAAAATACAACATACTAAAACCTCTGGGGTGCAGCTAAGGCAGTCCTCAGAGGGCAGTTCATAGCAATAAGCATGCACATAAAAAACAAAGAAGCAAAATTAATGATCTAACTCAACACCTTCATCAAATAGAAAAAGAACAACAATCTCAGCCCCTCGCCTCTAGAAGAAAGGAAATTATAAGGACAGGAGCTGAAATCAATGAGACAGAAAACAGAAAAACAATTGAAACATCAATAAAAGCAGAACCTGGTTTTCCGAAAGGGTCAATAAAATTGACAAGCCATTTGAAAACTAAAAAAAAAGAAGACACAGATACATCACAACAGAGCCAGAGGAAATGAAATCTATAATATAGGTATACTACGAAAATACTCTTAATTTGAAACCTAAAGGAAATGGACAAATTCCTTGAAACTCATACCCTACCCAGACTGACATGAACAGATGTGGACCACTTGAATAGACCCATCACAAAAGAAGAAATGAACAGATGATAAAAAGTCTTCTCCACAAAACAAAACAAAAAAGTCCTGGACCAGATGGCTTTATGACTGTATTCTATCAAACACTCAAAGAAGATCTCTCACCAATTCTACTTGAATTATTTAAAAAAAAAAATAGAAAAAGAAGAAACACTTCCAGGGTCATTCTATGAACAAGCATAACCCCTAACACCAAAACAAGGAAAAGATTATTCCAAGAAAAGAAAACTACAAACCAACATATTTCATAAATAAAGATGTCAAAATCCTTGCCAATAAAATCCAAAAGCACTCGTGCGCACGCGCGTGCGCACACACACACACACACACACACA